AGGAGCATTCGTGACTTTTTCGTGATTTTTTCGTGACTTTTTTGTTAGGGGCATTCGTGACTTTTTGTGACTTTTTTCTTAGGGGCATTCGTGACTTTTTCGTGACTTTTTTCTTAGGGGAATTTCTAATTCGTGACTTTTTCGTGACTTTTTTCTTAGGGGCATTCGTGACTTTTTCGTGACTTTTTTCTTAGGAGCATTCGTGACTTTTTCGTGACTTTTTTCTTAGGAGCATTTCTAATTCGTGACTTTTTCGTGACTTTTTTCTTAGGGGCATTCGTGACTTTTTCGTGACTTTTTTCTTAGGAGCATTTCTAATTCGTGACTTTTTTCTTAGGGGCATTCGTGACTTTTTCGTGACTTTTTTCTTAGGAGTATTCGTGACTTTTTCGTGATTTTTTCGTGATTTTTTCTTAGAGGCATTCGTGACTTTTTCGTGACTTTTTTCTTAGGGGCATTCGTGACTTTTTCGTGATTTTTTTGTGACTTTTTTCTTAGGGGCATTCGTGACTTTTTCGTGACTTTTTTCTTAAGGGCATTTCTAATTCGTGACTTTTTTTTCTTAGGAGCATTCGTGACTTTTTCGTGATTTTTTCGTGATTTTTTCTTAGAGGCATTCGTGACTTTTTCGTGACTTTTTTCTTAGGGGCATTCGTGACTTTTTCGTGACTTTTTTCTTAGGAGCATTCGTGACTTTTTCGTGACTTTTTTCTTAGGGGCATTCGTGACTTTTTCGTGACTTTTTTCTTAGGGGCATTCGTGACTTTTTCGTGACTTTTTTCTTAAGGGCATTTCTAATTCGTGACTTTTTTCTTAGGAGCATTCGTGACTTTTTCGTGACTTTTTTCTTAGGGGCATTCGTGACTTTTTCGTGACTTTTTTGTTAGGGGCATTCGTGACTTTTTTCTTAGGAACATTCGTGACTTTTTCGTGACTTTTTTCTTAGGAGCATTCGTGACTTTTTCGTGACTTTTTTTAGGAGCATTCGTGACTTTTTCGTGACTTTTTTCTTAGTGGCATTCGTGACTTTTTCGTGACTTTTTTCTTAGGAGCATTTCTAATTCGTGACTTTTTCGTGACGTTTTTCTTAGGAACATTCGTGACTTTTTCGTAACTTTTTTCTTAGGGGCATTCGTGACTTTTTCGTGACTTTTTTCTTAGGGGCATTCGTGACTTTTTCGTGACTTTTTTCTTAAGGGCATTTCTAATTCGTGACTTTTTTCTTAGGAGCATTCGTGACTTTTTCGTGATTTTTTCGTGACTTTTTTCTTAGGAGCATTCGTGACTTTTTCGTGATTTTTTCGTGACTTTTTTCTTAGGAGCATTCGTGACTTTTTCGTGATTTTTTCGTGACTTTTTTGTTAGGGGGCATTCGTGACTTTTTCGTGACTTTTTTCTTAGGAACATTCGTGACTTTTTTCTTAGGAGCATTCGTGACTTTTTCGTGATTTTTTCGTGACTTTTTTGTTAGGGGCATTCGTGACTTTTTCGTGACTTTTTTCTTAGGAACATTCGTGACTTTTTCGTGACTTTTTTCTTAGGAGCATTCGTGACTTTTTCGTGACTTTTTTTAGGAGCATTCGTGACTTTTTTCTTAGGGGCATTCGTGACTTTTTCGTGACTTTTTCTTAGGAGCATTCGTGACTTTTTCGTGACTTTTTTCTTAGGGGCATTCGTGACTTTTTCGTGACTTTTTCTTAGGGGCATTCGTGACTTTTTTCTTAGGAGCATTTCTAATTCGTGACTTTTTCGTGACGTTTTTCTTAGGGGCATTTCTAATTCGTGACTTTTTTCTTAAGGGCATTTCTAATTCGTGACTTTTTTCTTAGGGACATTTCTAATTCGTGACTTTTCCTTAGGGGAATTTCTAATTCGTGACTTTTTAGTGACTTTTTTCTTTCTAATTGGTGACTTTTTTCTTAGGGGCATTTCTAATTCGTGACTTTTCAATGAGTCCCATTTAGAATTCATGACTTTTTCCTTATATGTATTTCTAATTCGTGACTTTTTTTTATGAGGTTCATTTCTAATTCGCGACTTTTTCTTAGGGCATTTCTAATTCGTGACTTTTCGCGAGGTGTATTTCTAATTTGTAACTTTTCTTAGGGGAATTTCTAATTCGTGACTTTTTCAGAAGCTATTCGTGACTGTGGTTTTTTTCTGAGCCATTCATGATGGTTGACTTTTTAGCCATCATTCGTGATTCGTCTCTTCTTTGTGAGAAATTTGTGACTCATTCATTACGTGGTTTGTGAGTAATTCTATATGTCACTCTTTCTTAATTCATTCGTGACACGATACGTTGAATTGAACATTATTTTGTGTCCGTAACAGTCTGTGAAAATTAGTAAATTTGAATTTTATTCTCGGTCAAGGCTGTGCAATGTTGATAAACGATAACATATTTCGAAAGGGTGGTGGCTCGGGGGGAGGGTTTACAAAGAGAGAGAGAGATGACCGCGAATATTAACCTTTCGCGTGTGTGTATATATTTTACGACTCGTTTCACAATCATCGTTATATGCATAACTCTCTTTCTCTCTCTCACACATATTTTGAGTTTGCAAAACGATAATAATTCCTACGAGGGTTAATATAGTCGCACATTGAAATCTCACGCTCACCTTCCACCACGCGACAAGAGAGAATAATATAATAATGCATTGATATCGCGAGTGCAAGACCTTTGGACTTGTAAGAGGTTTGCTTGTAGAAAAGCAAAGTGGTAAACTTGTAAGTGGTAAAATAAAGTTGGTCCTCGTGGCCGTGACAGTTTAATTAATATCTTTCATCTTCAAAGGAGAAAAACTTGGTAAAGTCCCAGGCAAACCACTTCAACTTCTGGGTCGCCAACGCGACTGACTCCTTCACATTTCTTTTCGCCTTCAAAATATACATCTATATATATATATATATACATGAAGCGCGACCACTTCTTGTTTTTCCCTTACTAATGTTTAATGACTCTAGACGTTATACAATTTTTCTTCAACTTACACCTTCAATTATAAACAAAAAAAAAAAACTTCAAACCTTTGTATACCTCATTTTTTTGTCAGTGATTCTTGTCTTTACATTTATAAGAACAAAAATACTATACCCATCGAAAAAAATTAAATTTTAAATAACGGTTAATTTTTTTTTTTATAATATTATAAGAATTTTTTGTTCTTTTCTCGCGTCGAGTTTATTTCACAATAATTATATTTGCATCCCTTATTTTGCGAGTGTGCGATAATTAATTTTGAAAATCCTCTTTTATAGTTTATATAAGTTTTGGACCAAGTTTTGTATGAAGGAGATGATGAAATCCTGAGGTCCTCCTCTGCGGCATTTGATCTTGGCGCGCGCATAGAATGTTTATACTCGGGGAGAAAATAAAGTTTTTTTTTTTTTTTTTTTTTATTTCCTTGTGATTCTTGGATCGGTTTCCGCATTCGTTCTTTAATTCTTAGGGTTTAGAAAATTTAAGGTGAATTCTCTTGAGGGGTTGAAAACATACTTTTCTCTCTCTCTTAAGTTTCCGGATATCGAGGAGTTTGAAAGTTGGATGATAGAGTGGCATAACTAGATTTTACTTCTTAGAAGAGAGAGAGAGAGAGGAGAGTCTTTCACAAAAATTTCTTTTAACTTCAACACTTTCAGGCTTCAACTCTTAACTTTCAAAAAACTTAAGCTATTTCATTTTGAGCGAAAACATATCTTTTAATCTGTTTCAGCACAAAAAAATACTTTTGCATAAAGAGAGAGAGAGAGAGAGAAAACTTTTTTATATAGGGAACACTTAAAAACGTCTGTCATTTTTTTTTCGAAATCATATTTCTTTCCGGGCGAACTGGAATTTTTTTTTTGAAATTTCTTTACGAGATGAGAATTATTATTCATAAAAATGAAAATTTTTTTAAAGAAAAAAATTTATTTTTTGTTATTTTATAATTAAAAAAAAAAAAATAAAATTAGGTTAATGGGATTAAAATATTTTTTCAATGCACAATTGGAATTACAATACATAGTATGACAATAAAGAAAACGGAAATGCTTTGCGTCAAATAAAAAAAAGTTTATAGAGCTAAAACTTATAAATCTTGAGCGCTAAATTAAGTATAAATGTCGGATTTGCGCACAGAGTTTTACGATCTTTAATAAAACCATACACATTTGAAAGATAAATATATATCTTTGCGCCTATTTCTCGTCATATTTTTCGAAATAAAAATGATGACTGGATAAAATTTAATTTTTTTAAAATTACTCACGAGCTTACTCAAAAACATATATAGTCACCATTTATCTATTTTATACATTCATTAAACTGATCCTAATAAAATTAATTTAATAACGAAAAATTAATTATAAAAAATTTTAATTACACTTTTTAAAATGAAATTCTTTCGCTATTAATTGAACCCTATCTATTATTGATTGATATCTGAAGATAAAAAATAATTTCAAAGCAATAATACAAACTCATACTCTCTCCACTTTTTTTTAATATCAGTAATTGATTTTCCCCCCTCCAAATATTTGAATAATATCTTTCTCATATATATATATATATATATATATATATATATATATATATATTATTTTCCAAACTTTTTTCTTTTTATTCCTTGCTACGATGACAATGAAAAAAAAACATTTTACGCGTTGCAAAATCCTGAAAATGTAATAAAATAAAAAATAATGTCGATACTATGGGGGAATGCTTTGAACCATTTTTTTTTTTTTTTTTTTTTCATAAATTCGGGCGGGAAAATTTCATGCGATAAATCTATGGTCTATCGCATTCGTACACATGCGGTAACACCCTGAAACTTATCGATGCATAAGCTTAAATATTGGGAGAGACGGAATATAGCGAGGAAAAAAAAAAGAAAAAAAAAAAAGTAAATGGAAATTCAACACATATCTATATATAAAATAACGAGAAAATGTGAATAGAATGGTTGAGAAGGGATAGGTGGAGGTGTGTTAGAAAAGAATGAAAATTTGCTCACTATTGTCAGACGTTGGAAAATTCGTTGCTAAGGAGAAATCGTGTCGTGTGATCTGGTTTGCACTGACTACGCCGACGATGTCGATGTAACTTTCGAGAAGTACGTAGCACAAAATCAGCCATGCCACCCTCATCCTGCAATAATTACATATGAAATTACCTCTATTATTCGTTTAATTAGAGAATATCTTTATACATGTGTATATATATGTTATTTAAATCACAAATTTTGGCTAAAAGACTAAAATTACATTTCCAAAAATTGTCAATTAATTTTCATAAAAAATTTCTTAATATTAATTTCGTTTATTTATAAATTATATTATTTATATAATTTATTTTATTATATAAATTATATAATTAAAAATATAATAATAAATTGTGTAATTAAAAAATACAATAATAAATTATAAAACAATTTTTTAGGAAATATAAATATCTATAAATTATTATAAACTTTTATAAATATTTATATTCTATATTTATATTTTTATACAATTTTTTTTATACATTTTTTTACTTATTACTTAATTTAATTTATTTCCAACTTAATTACTAGTTTAACATATTGTTTATACAACAATAATTTATAAACAAAAAAAGAAATAATGATAATTAAAATTATTTTAAAAAAATATTAAAATCCATTCGCGAAGATTATAAATAAAACAATTTATTTCACAATTTCTCATTCTATTAACAAGTTTGTATATGATTAAAACTCGAAAAGGGATTTTCATTTTAATTTTTCCAATGTTTGCACAAAAAATTAGGAGAGAAATAAATCCCCAATTAATTAATTCTCCACCTTTTGGTTTGTAAATCATTAAATAATTTTTTTTCTCAAATAGATTTTGTAATAAAAAAAAAGTCCATTTTTATTTTATAAATAAATTAACAATTATTATTATTATTTTTATTATTATAGTTTATAATATAATAAATTATATATTTTTTATTTATTATTTATATTATATAATATAATGATAATTATTATTATTATAGAATATTTTTCATTTGTTTGTTTAAATATAATTCTAATTGTAGCACGTTCATTACATAGATAATTTATAATATCTTTTATCTGATATTAAAATGAGCTAATTGGGTTAATTTAGAATAAATAGAGAAATTCACGTATTATATCGTAACTGTGTATTTTGATGTGTAAAATATACTAATTCGCGAGTTTATTTAATGAGCTTAATAAATGTAAAATATATATATATATATATATATATATATATATATATATATATATATTATCAGGATAATTGTAGAATGATCAACGCGCTTATAGTTTAGATATATTAATAATGCATATGTAAAATGGTATTTTCAATAATTCCCTATCAATAATGTATATAGGAAGGAATTCAGAACTCCTGTATTGATTTATTTAAAATAGCGGCTGTTTCCATTAGAAATTCATTAAACAAGAATCGCGCATTAATTATAGACACATACATATACTCTCTCTCAATTTTTGGAAATCTCCCGATTATCCAATTTAGTACAAATCTCCAAAAAAAAAAAAAAAAAAAAAAAAAAAAAAAAAAAAACAAAATGAAATTTTAATTTCACAAACCGTTATTTATTGTTTCAATTGAATTTGTATGTAAAAGATTAATCAATAAGGTCAATTAGTAATTTTAATCCTACGATTTTTTTTTTTTTATTGAAAAAAATTCGTTTTTTTTACTGACATGAGAGAAATAATAAATAAAATACAATATTTGTGCAAAATAAAAAAAAGTTATTTTTTTCTATAGAAATGTGTCGCAATTTCTTTTTATTTCTTTCGGAATAAAAATCGTTTAAATATTTTGTCTCGTAAACATTTTTTTTTTTCGATTCTGGTACCAAAAAATCGTTTAAATATTTTTAGATATGTTACCTGATATTTACGCTCAAAGTAAACGAAGCAAACTTTTTACATTAAAACGAGAAAAACTTTCGTTTCTTTCCGATATTTCTTGGTTCAAGTTTCAGGCTTTATATACTTCGTTTTCTACATTGTGATATCGAATTTAAAAAAGTTCAAAATTAAAAAATATTTCAGTTACATATTTACAGTTAGGTTTAATGCCAAATATGCTACATCATATATATATAAAATTTGAAAATATTTTTGTGACATTTTTAGTTTATTGAATGTCACAATAAAATATTTTTAAATTTATAAAAATTAATTAAATCAACTAATAATAAAAAATAGTTTCAATTTTTTTTTATTATTCGAATAAAAAAAATAGCGGTATTTGAAAATATTAAATTTTCCTTTAAAAACTAGTTCAATTAAATTAATAAAGAATGAGAAAATATTTTTATACAATTGAATTTAAATCTAATCTGTAAATATCTTTATAAAATATTTATTCGATAGTATAAAACTAATAAAAATTGATATTTTTTCCATGAATATATATTTTTCAACTCTATTTTAATATTCGAAACATCTGTATCATTAAAATATTATGTCTCTCTCTCTCTCTCTCTCTCTCTCTCTCTCTCTCTCTCTCTCTCAGGTAAAGCTCTTTACGAGATTTTTAATGACAATTCATATCTTTTCTTTATTGCCATAATGAATTTTACTTCGTGCGCATCTACAAAAAAAAATCATATTATTATATACAATATATGTACATGTGACATTTACTATCCGAGCAAAAAAAAAAAATAGAGAAAAATCTTTTTTTTTAAATTTATGAAAAATTTTTCTATATAACTTAAGAATTTAAACAATTTTTATAAAAATTTAAGAGAATAAAATATGATTTCAAAAGCAGAAATTGAAAAAATATCGAACAATCTACAATCTGCTTTTAACTCTATATATATATAGGAAGAGAGAAAGAGAGAGAGGGGGGATATTTACCTAGAACGAGAGGGATTTTTTCTCGAGACCTAAGTGCTTGTGGCTGACGTTTTGAATTCATTCGTATTCCTGGTTGAAAACCCATTTAAAATTATTTTTCTAACTACGAACTAATTGAACTACTAACTGAAAGTGCTGCATTGAATTTCAATCAATGCTCTTCTATATATATATATACATGTACAAGAAACTACCCAAAATAATTTGTTTTTATTTTTTTAAATAAAAAAAAACTATTTTTTACAAATTATTTACAAAATTACGATTACAGTAATTTTTATTCAATATTTATATTATTATCAATAATAATAATAAATTTATATTAATAATAATAATAATATAAAACTATAAACTACTCAAAAAATTTGCTTTTCTTTAAAAAAAAAAAACTACTTTTTATTACAATTATACAGGGAAAAAAAAACTTTATCTGGAACAGCGATATGTTTTTCTAAAATAGGGAAAACTTTCTCTGTTTTAGTGAAACATATCGCTGTTTCAGTGAAACTTATCGCTGTTCCAGGTAAAGATTTTTTTCCGTGCTAAGTTCATGGGGGTTACAAAATGTCGATTAAAGTAGATTTTATTCAATATTTATTTTATTTAAAAAAAAGAAAAATAAATTATTTGGGTAGTTTATAATTAGTTATATTATTATTAATAATAATAATAATAATAAAAATAATAATAATATTAATAATAGTAATATTAATAATAAATAATAATAATAATAATATAAATAATCCTGTTTGATAAATTAAAATTGAAACAAATTATTATCATTATTATAATTAATTGTTAAATAATTATTGAGAAAATTTATTAAAATAGTAAATTATTATATAAAGTTACTGATACGAATAATAATAGTAATAATAGTAATAATAATAATAATAATAATAATAATAATGATAATAAAATTAATAATAATAATAATAATAATAATAATAATAATAATAATAACAGTATAATTTTGTAAAGTTCTCGTTTATAATTTAAATAATGAAATTTTTATTTTATTAAAGAGTCATTAGGGGGAAAAAAAAATGAAATTTAATTATATTTAATAGAATATGTATATACATTTTAAGAACTTGCTATACTGAATAATAATTATCACATTTCCAAAATTAGCGGTTTTAATGAATGCTTGAGGACCTACATGGTCATTAAATTCTAAAAAAAATTTTCACATAATTAACTGCTAACCAGCTCGTTAGAATGATATCATCCAATTATCTCCTCTATCAGATTACACTCGCACTATATATCTTGTGTCCTCTTATTCTATTCATTGAGCTTTTTCATAATTCAATAAATCTCTATATATATATTTTTTATACGAATTCCACTATCGCATTTTCATTGTTGGAAAAAAAAAATCTCACAATATATAGTATATATATATAATTTTTTTTCTTCAATATACTCATTTGAAAATTAGAAATATAATTAAAAAAAAAAAAAAGAAAAATAAAAATTATTAAAAAATTAAAAAATCCTTTTCATTTTTAAAATTAGAATAATTGATTAAAGTGGGTTTTTTACTTATTCGAAAATTATAATAATTAAAAAATTAAAAATTTTTAATTGGACATTAGAATAATTAAAAGATTAAACTTTTTTTTATTTGGAAATTAGAATAATTAACAAATACAATTTTTTTTTTTATTTGGAAATCAGAATAATTAAATAAACTTTTTTTTACTTATTTGGAAATTGAAAGATTAAATTTTGTTTTATTAGAATAATTAAAAAAAAAAATTTTTTTTGAAACATTTTATGCAAAATAGTTTTTTTTCCCCTCAAGTGGTAAATTAATGTTTTCATTCTTGAATGAAAATTGTTGATAAAGTATGAAAATTTTCCAAGAAATGTTCAAATTAGACAATGAATAATAATTATCATCATCTAGGTAATGTTTTAAGCATTAACGTGTCTCTTTGTCCCTCTTTCTCTCTCTCTCTTTCTGTCTCTCTTGAGCGCACGAAAAGTTTTCACTTGAGAGATTTTTAACACGAATTTTATTTAGTGGGTAAACTTTTAAATAGTTTAATCGTGGAAAACTTTTTGTTTTTAAGTAGCTGTTTGATTGAAATATTTCAACTACTGGTGTGTGTCTCGCGTATATTTTCTCTCTCTGTCTCTCTCTCTCTCTTTTTTTTTTAGTCACAGATTCATCGCCTCGTGAAGTCTTAGGAGAGGAGAAGAAGGAAAATATTCTCTTGCCCAGCAATCTGAAAACTTTAGAGTCAGCTTATCGCGTTTAGAAGCTAAATAGGTAGTAGTAAATTGATTATACAGTTTCAACTTCCTTCGCGTTACCTTTAATGAAGTCACGAGTTTAAAGAGACTCGTAAAGACTCTAATTTATTCAAGACCTTTCTCAGAAAATTTACTTTATATAAAGTTAAAAATGTCCTTTTTAATTAACTTCGCGCATGAAAGTCAAGTTATAGATCTAATATGAGAGATAAGGGGGGGGGACCAAAGTGTGTTTTTTTTTCTTATTCAAAAACAACAGAACTTTCGTTTATTTTCAATTTTGGTTAAAAAAATTTTTTTATAGAAAATTAATTATTATATAACAAAATTATAACATAAAAAAAAATTATTATAGAAAACTAATTATTATATAACAAAATTATTATAGAAAATTAATTATTAGGTATATCAAAAAACTGTTATAGAAAATTAATTATTATATCAAAAAATTGTTATGGAAAATTAATTATTATATAACAAAATTATTATAGAAAACTAATTATTATATCAGAAAATTGTTATAGAAAATTAATTATTTATATCAAAAAATTGTTATAGAAAATTAATTATTATATCAAAAAATTGTTATGGAAAATTAATTATTATATAACAAAATTATTATAGAAAATTAATTATTTATATCAAAAAATTGTTATAGAAAATTAATTATTATATCAAAAAATTGTTATAGAAAATTAATTATTATATAACAAAATTATTATAGAAAACTAATTATTTATATCAAAAAATTGTTATAGAAAATTAATTATTATATCAAAAAATTGTTATAGAAAATTAATTATTATATAACAAAATTATTATAGAAAATTAATTATTATATCAAAAAATTGTTACAGAAAATTAATTATTATATAACAAAATTATTACAGAAAATTAATTATTATATAAAAAAATTATTACATAAAAAAAATTATTATAGAAAACTAATTATTATATCAAAAAATTGTTATAGAAAATTAATTATTATATAACAAAATTATTATAGAAAATTAATTATTATATCAAAAAAAATTATTGTACAAAACAAATTATTATATTACAGAATTATATGAAAAAATTATTAAAGGAAAATTACATAAAAAAAAAATTTATTCTATCAAAATATAAAATGAATCCTTTGATATTGAAAATTTGTTTTTTCCTCTCAAAGTATAATAAATTGAAAAAAGAATAAGATGAAAAAAAAAGTAAAAGAAAACTAAATATTTACAGTACAATCTTCATCCTCAAGTTTCGAGTATATTTTCAATCGAATTTGTTGAATGTAATTACGTCACAGATTGCTTTGTGGATGGAAATTAGATTACGGGTAACTAGATACTTGTTTGTCTGCAATTTGTTGGTTAATTACTTCGAAAGTACAAAATCACAAGTGATTAGAATTTGTAATTGATGTGTAAATTCGACTTTATATATATAAAAAAAAAAAAAGAAATTCCTTTTTAAAGCTCATTTTCTATTGGTTAAACAATATTTCCAATTATAAAATATAAAGGAAATTTTTTTTATAGAATTATTAATAAAATTAAATGCAAAAAAATTTTTCAGTCTTGTTCTTTTTTTTTATATTTTTATATTGATTCGGAACTTTAAATTAATAAATATGAAAAAGTGATTTTTGTCTTTGTGAATTTTAGAAAAGTGAAAAAAAAGTTTTTTTTATTTTTTTTTGTTAAATTTTAAGCTTCCATTAGTGATGATTCGATAGAGTGGTTACATAGAGTTCATAGTAATATTCAGAATTTATTCAATCGCCGATTGTCAATCTTGCAACCGCTGATGCAAATCGATTATATATATATATATATATATTTTATTGAAAGGAAATTGTTCTACATGACTATCATTTTATCCATCTTGCATTTTCAATTTTAAACAATATTCTGAAACGCAACGGAAGTCGTTTATATTCAAATTGTTTATAACATTACATAAATTATTTTTTATTTATCAAAATTTGATAAATTATTTAAAAGTAAAATTATTATTAATATTTATTATTATTATTTATTACTATTTTTTATTTCTATTATTTATTACTATTATTTATTATTATTTATTACTATTATTTATTTCTATTATTTATCATTATTATTTATTACTATTATTTATTTCTATTATTTATCATTATTATTTATTACTATTATTTTATTATTATTATTATTAACATTATTTATTTTTAACATAATAAAAAAATGAATTAAATGAATCAAATAACAGGTACATGAAAATATAAATTAAAAATTGAAAACTATTTTGTAATATTTTTTTGTAATTTTATTAATACCTAATTGTAAATATTTTTTTTCTTGTTTTTGATAAACTTTTGTAATAAAAAATTTATTACAGTAGGTAATAAAGTTTTTATTGTAAAGTTTATAATAATAAAATATGTTTTTACAATTATTATTTTTTATTTTTTTTTATTTTTTATTAGTTTTGTGACAAGAAAAATGTTTTTGAAACAAATATTTATCAAAAAAAAAAAAGCATAAATGGCAAAAGGTGGTTAGACAATTTGAAAACGCGAAAAATTCACCAAATAAAATATAAGAAAACAGAGGAAAGGAAAATAGAATGTTATACCAACCACTTTCCTTTCCTTCCTTCCTTCCTTTTCTGCTTTCTCTTTATATTCTTTTTACACATTCCAAAACATGCCGTGAAATTTAAAAAAAAAAACGAAAAAAATAAAAATTGTGAAACATGCAACGTTTTCTCTGTCCACCTGACACCATTTTCAAAGAAGAAACTGCGTGAAAAAAAATTTAATATAATTTTTTTTTTTTTTTTTTTTTCCTTCTTTTCTCTTGAAAGCTCGTCTGTTTTATGATGACGGTAATTGTTCAGTTTTGTCGTGTGTTTTCATTTTATTTTTGTAAATTTTTCCCCTTTGAAAAGTTTGTCACTTGGACAGGCGACATTTTCTCTACATTTGTATTTTTTTCACAATTTTTCACTGGGGGTGTGTGTTTTGACGTTACACAGTGTAAAGCAGAAAACAGACGACGAATTTGTTTTTCTATTTTCATTTTATAAAAAAGGGGTAGAATGTTTTTTTTAAAAAACTGGTAACTTATTAATACTGTAATTAATGCAAAAAAAATTTTTTTTTGCCAACTATTGCAAAGAAATAGGGAAGTAAAAAATACTTGTCACAAAACTAAAATAATAAATAAAAAAAAAATAATAGAAAATAGTAAATAATAAATATAATAAATGAAAGAAATAAAATAATAAAATAATATAAATAATAAAAAAAAATAATAAATATAATAAATAAAAATAAAATTATAATAATTTTTCCAAATGAAAATTGTGAAAAAATTTTGAATATAACTATTGTTTTTCCAAATGGAAATTGTGAAAAAATTTTGTTTCTTTCAATTTTTTTTCCAAATGAAAATTTTGAATAAAATTTGTGTAAGAAATTCTTTTTTTGTTAGCATTTTCGGGCATTTTGAAATTCACAATTAACTTTGGATTTTTAATTAATTTCTTGAAGCGCCATTAAATGCGGGGAATGTGAAATCTTCTATATAGGAATGAAGGGACGATAGTTGTGTAAACAACGGAAATAAATTATTATTTCCGGGGACAGAGATAGTGGAGTCGCGCGCGTTTAGCCCGGTAATTGAATGAAACTGAGCGGACAAAAATTCCGCACAAATAGTATTTTACTTCAAAATATGTATGTGTAAAAAATATATATGTATATACAAAATAAACCCTGAATTCACCCCCCCTCAAAAAAAAAATCCCTTTTTTCCACAAAAAACACTAAATCGCTGTGGATGGTCATAAATATATTATTTTCCCTCTCAAATCACAAATTGCTTCTCACAAACTTGTCGACCGAAAAACATTTTATGTATACCTAAAAGAGAGAGAGAGAGATACATATAAAAAAAATATATATACCAAACGAATGAAAAAAATCACGCCATTAAAAAAAAAAACCCACTAACCGCTCTCTCGCGATATTTATTATCTTTTTTTTTTTTTTTTTTTTTTTTCGTGCACAACATTGTAACTCGCGCCCGGTTTACCTGTCGGAAAAGTCGGGTTAACCGAATTGCGCACGATTATTCATCGGCCTAAAGTGGGTAGGGGGAAAACGGAACAATCGAAGGATCATGTAAAAAAAGAGTCACCTCTCTCTCCATTGTAAACGCATTTATCTCGGATTTGAAAGCTCAAAATGTGCACCATTTCCTGTTTGTTTCACAGTTATAAATTTGTATATATGCGAAAACGAACACGCGTTTTACATTTATAAACTTCGAAGTATTATTATGTTTAATTTTTTTTTTCTACCTCGTCTGTCAAGTGGTGCATTATAGTCGCGTGCCAAAATCCGCACGAGACATTACACACGTATTTTTTTAATTATTTTTAAAAATCACTTTTTTTTTATCACTAAAAATTTTTTTTCCAAATTTTTCTTTTGGTGAAAAAATTTGAGAAAAAAACAATTTTGAGATGTTTTTTTTTTTTTGAATAGTACTACAGCTTCCCTTTGGATGAGAGACGCATTCCCGGGCGTCGAGACGCGTGTACTGATGTGTCAGTTGATCGCGACGGTGAGCGTCGGGACGCCCTCACAACTATAGCGGGAGAGAGAGATGCCTCTCGTAGTCCCGCGCAGGTCCTGGATGTTCCGTTTCTCTTTGGTATGGTGCTGGGATATAATTTTCCATTTATTATCTCTCTGTTTCGTGATGCATGTGTACCACCTCGTCGGCGCAAATACGTGCCGCAAGACGAGATGTAACACCTGATAAAAGATTATCGAATTATTACAAGAGCGAGAGAGAGAGAAAGGTAGCCTATAGATAGAGAGAAGGGGGGAGAGAGAGAGAGATCTCTGTACCGGATGTTGCACATCTTGTGTAGATCAAAGGTGCCGAGCACGCACATCTACCCGGGATTTACTGGCTTTTCTCAAACGGATTTCTTTATTCCCCCCTTTTGAAAAAAGAATCCCCCACACCTGAAAATTCGCTTTTTCATTGTATTTGTGTTTCTTTCGCTAAAACTTATTTTCTCGCAAAAAAAAGCAAAACAAAAACAAGTTTACTTTTTGGTTTTTTTATTTTAGACGTTGAAGAGATATTTTTAACGTTTCAAAATAGGAAAATGGTAAACTAATTTTTATGCATCGTTATGGTTTTTTGAAATTTAAGTATGAGAAAAATTGGTTGACTAATTTAAATTAGTGAAAATTTCTATTTATTTTATTTAATTTCTACTGAATTTTTAGTTAATTTTTACTACTTTTTAGTTATTTCTACTTATTTTTTAATGAATTTTTACTAAAAATTAAGTGAAAATTTCTACTAATTAAATATCTAATATAATAGTACTAATAATTATTATTTCTATTAATTTTTAGTAAATTTTCACTAAAATTTAGTACTAGGTTAGGTACTAAAGAAAATAGTATTGTTTAACTAAAAAATAGTGAAAATTTTTACTAAGTAGTCATTTTTCTCTAAAAATTAAGTAGAAAAATATTACTAAATCAAATAGTAATATTTTAGTAAAAAATAAGTGCAAATTTTTTAATAAATAAATTACGTAATATAATGTACAATACTAATAATTATTATCTATACTAATTTTTAGTTAACTTTTACTTAAACTTAGTAATAGATTAAGTACTAAATTAATTAGTAATATTTTAATAGAAATTAGTGAAAATTTCTACTAATGATTTACCAAATAAAATATACAACAATAATAATTATTATTATTTCTACTAATTTTTTTAGAAACTATTTAGTAAAACATTAATAATACATTAGGTACTAAATAAATTAGTAATATTTTACTAAAAATTAGTCAAAATTAATACTAATTTGTAGTCATTTTTCACTAAAAATTTAGTAGAAAAATATTACTGAATCAATTAGTAATATTTTAGTCAAATTATATATAATCTTAAATTTTTCTATTTAAAAATTTTTTTCGATTAAAAAAAAAATTTTTGGAAAAAAGACGATAAAATTTTTTTTGTATTTTTTAAAATCCTTTGGTTAGATTTGAGATATTAATATGATAAATGAGCCTACCATATTTTATCTAAATCCATTAAAACCTGATAAAGTTATCGTCTAAACAAAAAAGGGATCCACACACACACACCCACACACACACATACATAAATCCGGACAATTGATCAGGATCTCATATAACATAATTCTATATAGAGAAAAAATTGTTTCCGCCACTTTGAAAATATTTATAAACGAAAGAACTACAAAGCTTCCTCCACGAGGAAGCAAAAAATCGAAAAAAAAATTATTATTCCTATTCTCTTGCAATTTAGGTTTAATTGGTAGGATTTTTCTGAGGTAATTTTTTTTGTTTGAAGGTAAAAAAAATAATAGAGACATGATGTTTAATTTTATTTGACTATGTAAGAGATTTTTTCATTTTTCAGGAAAACATTCTATCCACAGTACAAGTAGTAGTACAAGTAAATATTCAGTTGGACGGGTTTGCAATTTTGTTAGTAATACAAGTAAATATTTAGTCAGACATTCTTAATTTGACCTTCAAACGACCTTGACTTGACCTTCAAATGACCTTGAATGACCTTGACTTGACCTTCAAATGACCTTGAATGACCTTGACGTGACCTTCAAATAACCTTGAACGACCTTGACTTGACCTTGACCTTGTGTCAAACTTTTAAAGCACTTCAAAATTTTTTCAGTGGTTCAAATAAATATTTAGCCAGACATTCTAATGGTTGAAATTTTCTCAGTAGTATTAGTCAGCAGTAGTACAAGTAGTAGTACAATATTGTCAGTAGTACAAGTTAATATTTAGTTGGACGGTCAGTAGTATTACTCAGCAGTAGTACAAGTAGTAGTACAATATTTTCAGTAGTACAAGTTAATATTTAGTTGGACGGTCAGTAGTATTACTCAGCAGTAGTACAAGTAGTAGTACAATATTGTTAGTAGTACAAGTGAATATTTAGTTGGACGGTCAGTAGTATTACTCAGCAGTAGTACAAGTAGTAGTACAATATTGTCAGTAGTACAAGTTAATATTTAGTTGGACGGGTTTGCAATTTTGTTAGTAATACAAGTAAATATTTAGTCAGACATTCTTGATTTGACCTTCAAACGACCTTGAATGACCTTGACTTGACCTTCAAATGACCTTGAATGACCTTGACTTGACCTTCAAATGACCTTGAATGACCTTGACTTGACCTTCAAATGACCTTGAACGACCTTGACTTGACCTTGACCTTGTGTCAAGCTTTTAAAGCACTTCAAAATTTATTCAGTGGTTCAAATAAATATTTAGCCAGACATTCTAATGGTTGAAATTTTCTCAGTAGTATTACTCAGTAGTATTAGTCAGCAGTAGTACAAGTAGTAGTACAATATTGTCAGTAGTACAAGTTAAAATTTAGTTGGACGGGTTTGCAATTTCGTTAGTAATACAAGTAAATATTTAGTCAGACATTCTGAATGTTTGAAATTTTCTCAGTAGTATCACTCAGTAGTATTAGTCATCAGTAGTACAAGTAGCAGTACAATATTGTCAGTAGTACAAGTAAATATTCAGTTGGATGGGTTTGCAATTTTGTTAGTAATACAAGTAAATATTTAGTCAGACATTCTTGATTTGACCTTCAAACGACCTTGAATGACCTTGACTTGACCTTCAAATGACCTTGAATGACCTTGAATGACCTTGACGTGACCTTCAAATGACCTTGAACGACCTTGACTTGACCTTGACCTTGTGTCAAGCTTTTAAAGCACTTCTAAATTTATTCAGTGGTTCAAATAAATATTTAGCCAGGCATTCTAATGGTTGAAATTTTCTCAGTAGTATCACTCAGTAGTATTAGTCAGCAGTAGTACAAGTAGTAGTACAATATTGTCAGTAGTACAAGTTAAAATTTAGTTGGACGGGTTTGCAATTTTGTTAGTAATACAAGTAAATATTTGGTCAGACATTCTGAATGTCTGAAATTTTCTCAGTAGTATCACTCAGTAGTATAACTCAGCAGTAGTACAAGTAGTAGTACAATATTGTCAGTAGTACAAGTGAATATTTAGTTGGACGGGTTTGCAATTTCGTCAGTAATAGAAGTAAATATTTAGTCAGACATTCTTGATTTGACCTTCAAACGACCTTGAATGACCTTGACTTGACCTTGAATGACCTTGACGTGACCTTCAAATGACCTTGAACGACCTTGACTTGACCTTGACCTTGAGTCAAACTTTTAAATTTATTCAGTGGTTCAAATAAATATTTAGCCAGACATTCTAATGGTTGAAATTTTCTCAGTAGTATCACTCAGTAGTATTAGTCAGCAGTAGTACAAGTAGTAGTACAATATTGTCAGTAGTACAAGTAAATATTCAGTTGGAAAGGAAAAATTAAACGAAAGGACTACAATGCTTCCTCCACAAGGAAGCAAAAATAGTTATATTTTACTAAAAATTTGTGAAAAATTCTATTAATAATTTACCTAATATATAATATACAACATTAATAATAATTATTATTTCTACTAATCACTAAAATTTTAGTAATAAATTACTAATAAAAATAGTAATAAATTACTAAAAAAAATAGCAATAATTTTGTACTAATTTTTATTAAATTTTCATCAAAATTTTAGTAAAAAAATGTATTACTCATTCAAATAGTAATAATTTATTTCTTAATTTTTTTTTTTTATTATTATTTTACCATTAAATAATATACTAAGAATTAGTGAAAATTCATATACTAATTTGTAGTAATTTTTCACTAAAAATTAAGTAGAAAGAAACTAAATTAAATAGTGATATTTTAATAGAAATTAGTATAAATTTATTATTAATTTACATAATGAAATTTTCATAAATATGATATTTCCTTCGAAATTCCGAAAAATTCACGGTGCATATATATACAAAATATTTCCCGCGCAATATCCGAAGAGAAAATTTAAAGGATTTTCAAGAAAAAGACTGTGTTGGAGATTTGTGAGTAGCTCCTGGCAATACTGTAATCGCTCCCTATAAAATTGTTTTAATATCTTGAAAGCTTTCCTCCAAGCTTTCGAAAAGAAGTTGAAGATTTTTCTAGAAAATATTTTTTTCCCCTCCACATATATACAATATATACCATTTCTGTGCTCTATATATCTTTTTCACATATTTCGAATTTCTATATTGATCAGAATTTCATATATATATATATAGAATAAATTTCCCATTATAAAAGCAAAACATAATTTCATCATAGGAAATTTTCTATCTTAAAAACAAGTATAATAAATAGATCTATAGATGAAAAAGTTGGATCTCGTAAAAATTTCCAATAACCATAAAAATCGGTACTATTTTCATATATGAACACGAATTTCTACTCGCGGGGAATTTTTTTTTTTCGCCCCAAAAAATGCTATTCTCTAAAAAAAAAACAATTATAGATATTTTTTTGTCGCGACAAAAATATAAAAGAAAAAAATAAATTTTCAATTTGTGGAATAAATATAATAAAAAATTCGGTTTTGGAATTTACTAAAGTACTCAAAATGAGAGCTCTCTTTTGAAT